ACTTGGGGCTTAACATGGGGCTTGCCCACCAATAATGCACCAGGATTCCGCTTTCTCTGTACCCTTGCCGACACTTGTTTACTGTTTTTCCTAATTAAACAAGTTAAAAAAAAATAGCTACCCTCATGGGTGTGAAGTGGTGTCTTACTGTGCTGGGTCCAATGTTGGATCTCTCAAGTGAGCCTTGCTTCTGAAGTCTTCAGGGTTTTCTCACGGTCCCAGTTGTCTTTATGGTGTTACTGGGAGATGAGCCTCAGTCTCCTGCAGGAAGGAGAGAGGAGGCTCTGGATCCTACCTCAGGAGTGGGGTTGGCTGTGTTCCCCCTTTGTGCTGTGCTCAGTGCGAGCCCTCCCGGTGCCTGCTGGGCGTCATCTCGGGCCAGAGGGCGGTTGGGGAAGGAAGCAGGTGACCCGGGGTGGGTCCTCACTTCCACAGCAGGTCCACTGGGCCACGCAGAGAATCTCACACTTGTTGGCTCAGGGCAAAAAGATGCTTGTGGCTCCTCCTATGAGTACGGGTTATTTTCACTGCGTTAGCAGGAAGAAACCCCATGAGTTTTGGCTGAGGGTTTTTGTGGCAGATTCATGGGATACGGTCTGAATCCGTTCCTGATTCCGAGTAGGAACTAAAGCAACCTTTGAAGATTTTAAAGTGCAATTTAGGGTAAGCTGCTTGACCCTGAGTAGGTTCCCTGTGATCGATCAACAAGGGTGTCTCTTCCTGGGCTGGCCATGAACTCTGGTTTGGACCTAGTAATAATACCAGGGCTAATGAAAAGAAACATTTTAACTAACCCTTAACCATGGTGCTTAATATGTCCCTGACATGGTTTTAAGTGGCTTACCTTATTAGCTCCCTCCATCGTCATGAGGGCTTTATGAGGTAGGGACTGTGGTTAGCTCCATTTTACTTAGGAGGGAACAAAGGCCAGGCTGATGAAGTAACTTGTCCACAGCGGGAACGTGGAGCTGGGATGTGAACCGAGGCAGCCCAGCTCCAGACTCTGGCTTTAGGACATCTGAAGAAAGGATCAATGTCAGGAGCCCGATCTAATAAGACACCGCCTTTCCAGAACACTTCATAGTTTATGGTGTTTTTCTGCTTCTGTGAGGCAGACATTCGTGTCATTCTCATTTTGCCAGAGACGGAAACTGAGGCCTAGAGGTGTTCGGGGACTTTCCTAGGGAAGCCGGATGGCGTGTGGCAGGCACATGCTAAAAAGGGACCTGGCCTGCTCCGTTGGTGGGAATAAGTCGGTGCAGCCACTGTGGAAAACAGTATGAAGCTTCCTCAGAAAATTAAAAATAGAACTCCCCTATGATCCAGCAACCCCACTTCTGAGTATCTAGCGGAAGGAAATGAAAGCAGGCCATTGGAGAGATACCTGCCCTCCTGTGGGCAAGGTGGCTTCATTCACAGCAACCAAGATATGGAAACAACTTCAGGGTCTGTCATTGGATAAGTGGATAAAGAACATGTGTGTGTGTGTGTGTGTGTGTGTGTGTACACACACACAGGCACACAATGAAATATTATTAAACCATGAGAAAGGAAGAAATCTTGCCATCTGCGACAACGTGGATGGACCTTGAGGGCATTAGGCTAAGTGAGATTAGTCAGACAGTGAAGGACAAATACTACTTGACAGCACTTGTATGCTGAACCTAAAAAAGCCAGACTCAAGGAAGCTGACTAGAATGGTGGTTACCAGAGGCTGGTTGGGAGGGTGGAGTGGAACGGGGGAGGTGTTGGTCCAAGGGCACTAACTTGTAGCTGGAAGAGGAGTAGGTTCTGGAGAGAGAAAGCCCGTTGCGATTATGGTCACCAATAGTCAAGAATGCTGTATTATATACTTCAAGATTGCTAAGAAGCTAGATCTTTTTTTTAAAGATTTTATTTATTTATTTGACAGACAGAGATCACAAGTAGGCAGAGAGGCAGGCAGAGAGAGGAAGGGAAGTAGGATCCCTGCTGAGCAGAGAGCCCGATGTGGGGCTCGATCCCAGGACCCTGGGATCATGACCCGAGCCGAAAGCAGAGGCTTTAACCCACTGAGCCACCCAGGCACCCCAAGAAGCTAGATCTTAAATGTTCTTACCACAAGAAAGAATTATAGGGGGGTGATGGAGGTGTTAGCCAAGGCTGTGGGGGCAGTCCTCACAATATATGAATTTGCCAAGTCAGCATGGTGTATACCTTAAGCTTATAGAATGTTAGATGTCAACTCAATCTCAAAAACAAAATAGAAAAATGCCAGGGGAGGAAACAACTCAGGAAAGCTGTCTTGGAGCTGCCCTTGACTCTGTGTGCCTCTGTGTGGATCCCTTTTCTATAATCACGGCTGGTCAGCAGCTTGGTTTTGCCAAGGCCAAGGCTTGCTTCCTGCTCTCAGCCTCGGCCACTCTCTCAGCCCCGAGAGCCGTCAGCGCCGGGCCCTTCTGGCTGCCCTGGCTGCCCATTCCGCACAGCTGCTCTGAGTGGCTGAGCACAGCTGCACAGGAACGGTCCCTAAAGTGTGGGGAGCATGGTAGAGCCAGAGCACAGAGTGGAGAGGAGATCAGAAGCCATTGGGTTGGGGAGGAAGGGGGCAGGCAGGACACCTCTTAAGGACTGGAGGAGAGGGTGTTGTCCTTTATCCTGTGTGCACTGGGGCCCCCGAAGGCCTTTGAGAAAGAGGATGGCTGGATTGGAGCGGGCCTTTAGGAGCTGGGTTTCGTCTCCATGTGTCTGATGGCCCAGGGCCTCACCTGGCTGAGTTCCAACATCTTGTCTTCCTAGTTGGCCTGTGGCTTCTTTCAGCAGCCTGTCACTGAGTGTCACTGTCTCTCAGGGGCTATAAGCTCTCAAAGGTCACTGACTTTTGTAGGGCACTGGCTCCTGTGTTTAATTTGTTGGCTTGTGGCTGCAAAGCTCAGGCCCAGGCGTCCTGGCCTTCTTTGACCCTCCCCTGGCAATGCGAGGCAGGCGTCGTGGTGTTTGTAGTGTCTGGAATGTACAGATGAACCAGCTGGGCACCAAACGTAGATTTCTCCCTGGGATGGCTTCTTTTCTCTGGAAAACTCCTACTGACCTTTCCAGATGCTTCCACTCTTTGGGTGGCTGTTGGCTCCCTCACAGAATATGAGAGCCGCTGCCCCTAAACCCTGACAATACTTTATCTACCCCAGATTTCATTGTGTAAAGAGATATTTGTCTTATTTTCCCAGGCAGGCTCTGAGCACCTCGAGGGAAGGGTCTGGTCTTTGTTACGTCTGCACCCAGCTCAGAGTTCAGTACTTCACGGAGCACAGCCCTCCAAGACTAGGGATTGCCTTTTGACTGACTCCTGTGTATGTGGGCACTGGGTTATAGCAACGAACCTGCCCTTGGGGGGCTCACCCTACTGGACCCCTTGCATGTGACCTCCACTTCCATGAATCTTTCCAAGGGACAGACTTCAAGCTGCCTTCCTCAGAGCTGGGGATATGTTCTATTATGTTTCAAGAAAAGGCCTTTGAAAGCTTGAGAGGCAGAAGTGCTCTCTTTCAGAATAAGGGCTGTTTGCCTTGTATCCTCCAAACACAGTTCTCTGATGCTGGTTGGTTGTAGGTGTTTGCTACACGGGTAGAATGGAGTTGTTGGAACACGAATGGACTCTGACTAAGAGCTGACTCCAGGAGGAAGGGGGACCTGCCCGGGCCCACACGGTCACCAGTCATGCACAGTTAGCACATGTCCAGCTCCCGGAGTTCTCTACAAAAAGAATTCGATATTAGAGGCAGATAGGAGCCTGACGAGATGCAATCAGACTACAAAAGAATCGGTTTTAATGCTAGCCCTCACCTCCAACAGGTTGTGTTCCCTCTCTTGGCATTTCCCCAGTTCTAGGACTCCTGTTTGAGTTTCACAAGCAGCAGCACACAGATGGCTTTCCGAGGCCACTTGGCTGAGACCAGGCCCCGCCTTGGGAAACACAGGACGCTGCAACGTTGGAGAGAGGGGCATCTGGAGTTCGTGGTCTGCAAGTGACCAAGCTACCAGAGGAGCCTCTCTCTCCAGCACGCTCACCCAGCAGTGGTGAAGGCCACCGCAAACCTGAGAAAGGGCACCAGAACCAGGGCACCAGGGTTTCCAACACCTCAGCCTGTGAGAGCAGGAAGGAGGGCTTCTGGCTTGGCTTGGCCACTGACCCAGCTGGGCGGGTTACTGTCCTTCCTCGGGCCTCAGATTCAATGTGAACAACATGAGGAGGCGGGACTGGAGGGTCTTAGTGCTTTTTGTGGGAAGGAGAAGGGGCTCTGGTGTTAGGCGCACCGGGTTTTCAAAGGAAGAGAGCATGAGAGGTAGGGTGCAGGTGGGGGTAGGGGCTGCCTGGGTTTTAGAACCAGCCGCACGTGGGTTCCAACCCTGGCCCTGCCCCTTGTTAGCTGTTTATTTGGGGGCAAGTTATGTCACCTTCTGGATGCTGGGTTTCTGATGTAGAAATAGTGACGGGCCCTTCACCCTGGGTGGTGGGGGGAATCACCTGTAATGAGATATTGCAGGGAAAGCATGGAATAAGGGCTCAGTGCAGAGAAAGCCTACAGTCAATGTAGGGGATGGCGGTAGTATTTGGAGATGCTGACCACCTTGACAGGTGTCCTTGAGGCTGGCCGGTGGCCCTGTGGTCTGAGCAGCTGCTCTAAGCAGGGTGCCCCCAGAAAGAAACCCATATAGAGCTGTATATTTCCATCCAAAGGTTTCTCGCTCATTCTGGACCAGGGCTGCAGAAATAGGCCGATGAACCTAACCTGTCACGAGTGTCCTCCCTCCATGGCAACAGACAAACCCAGGGCTGTTGGCCAGAGCTGGGCCTGTCTGGCCGTTCCTGGGCTCTGAGCCTCCATGTAGCCCATGGGGGGTGAATCCAGGTGAATCATGGGACTCTGGGTGAGTCCTGGGGCTCTGGGCCCAGTCCTGGCTTGCTGGGTGTATGGCCTGGGCTGTGGGTCGGGGTGAACACACTCTCCACCCCTTTCCAGTGCGCAGGTCCAAGGCCGCGGACGAGGAGAGGAGCCGCCGAGCTCAGCGCGCCAGGGACGAGTACCGGCGCCACTCACTCCGTGCCATCCAGAAGGGCATGGTCGCCGGCCTCAGCTCCATGTTCCGAGAGCTCGGCCAGAGCCAGGAGCAGGAGGCCAGACTCTACCACCACCTGCCAGGCCCCGGGCCTCCGCCTCCCCTTGCCATACCTGTCAGGTGGGTCTTGACAAAGAGAGCGTGGCTGGGGGCTCCAGTCCCTGTTCTGCTCCAACAGCTGTGAATGTTGGAGCTAGTCATTTCCCCGCTGTGGGCCTCAGTGTTCAAATCTGTGTTATGGGGCCAGAGGGAGGTAGTGAGGAGTCTGGCTGGAGATTTCTAATAGGCCCAGAGTTCTGGGAGTCTTAACATTTTGGGGTCTAGGATTCCTTTGAGAACCCAAAGAAAGCCGTATACCCTCTTTCCTCCAAGCTGTGCATATGAAAATACCCAGAAATGTTTGCACATCATTTCAAGCTCTTAAAGGTCCATAAACCCCAAAAACTTATAATATAAGACCTCATATGGGTTAAATATGGCCCAGCTGCTTGGAAACCAGGTCTGGCTGCTCTTTCTTTCTAACCACAGGTAGTGCTGGTGCATGCCTGGTTCTGGTCACAGGCATGTAGATGAGCGTGGTTGAGTCCTGAGGGTCCTCACACACCCTGGGTCTCCAGAATGGCTTGGCAAGGACACTTAGGGGACTGCCCATCATTCCAGAACCCAGGGTCAAGAGGTTGCTTGTGGCCTCTCCAGTTTCCACTTGTGCCCACCTTAGGCCAGCCCCGAGGTTGGTCCCCCACACCTCCATCCTTGCCGAGCAACTACTGCCCCATGAGGGTGGGTGGTAGTGCCTGCTCGGTCCCAAACCACAGTTAATCTGCATGAGGGTCTGTTCTGAGTTCTGCTTTAATTGGGATTTAGAACCCCCCTTCACCCTCTCCCTGAGGGCTAGGGAGGGCTGACCATGCCTGCATTTCTTCCTTCCTTTCTTCTCCCCTGCCCCAAGTCCTTCCTTTCTTATCATTTATTCGATTCACAAACCAGGAAGTTTAAAAAGAAATATGGAAAATGGCTGCCTCCCATTCTTGCCTCCCCCTTCTTGGATCTCCCTGGCCCCATAGGGGAGCCCTGTTCTCAGTGTATGTGTGCCCCTCAACCCCAGTTCCTTTGTGTAGTTGGTGACATGAAAAGTCATAGCTCCCTCTGTTTTTCCCAGGAAAGTTTGCATGTTTTACACATGGCTCTGCGTCTTGACTTTTATTTCCATTTAACTGTATTTTGGAGGTCTTTTCGTATCAGTTCTTAGCTATTCATTTATTGTTATTTTTCATTTTTTTTTTAAGATTTTCTTTTTAAGTAATGTGTACATCCGATGTGGGGCTCGAACTCACAGTCCAGAGATCAGGCGTCCCATGCTCCACTGACTGAACCAGCCAGTCACCCTGGTTATTTTCTTTTTTTCTTCCTTTCTTTTCCTTCCTTCCTTCCTTCCTTCCTTCCTTCCTTCCTTCTTCCCTCTCTCCCTCCCTCCCCCCCTCCCTCCCTTCCTTCCTTTCTTTCCTTTTTTTTACAGTTGCATTGTATTCCACTTCACAGATGTGCTAGAAGTCATTTATTAACAACTCTTAACAGACATTGGAGTTGTTTGAAATCTCTGGTTATGACCACAGTGCCCTTAATGAATAATATTGTAGTTGTTCATTTTACACATGGGCTGCCCTGGGAGGGAGGCTGACGGGCCAGCCTCTCTGGGTGTCTGGGTCTGCTGCTCCTGATATACGAGGGTCACCAGGGCATGAAGTAATTCATGGATGCTGGTATCCGTGCCCTACAAATTCTAGAGGGAAAAAATGCCTTTTCTCTCCCTCAAACACCTCCTCCTATCCTCTTTTATTTCCAACCTGTGTGGCTTTTTTGGAAGCAAGCAATAACAATGTTCTTTTGGGGAAAGTAATAATAGTTGGTGCATTAGTACCGGCAAAGTGCCGTCATGCACCTCGACTCATTGGATTCTCTCCACAGGCATGAGTGCGGTTATCGTGCTGATTCGTTCTCATAGTGGCCCTGCCTCCCCTCTCCTCCCTTCCCTCCCCTCCCCTCCCCCTTTCTCGTCCTCCCCGCCTACTCCCTCCTTAACTCTCCACACTTCATCTCTCTTCTCAGCAGGACCTGGGAGCGCCCACTGAGACCTGTCTCCAGAGAAGTCATAGTCCGCTGGTTTAAGGAGGAGCAGCTGCCTCGCCGAGCTGGCTTTGAGAGGAACACCAAATCCATCGCCCCCTGGTTCCACGGTAGGATGGCTTTTTGGGCCCCTGGGGCAGACACCAGCCATCTGCCTCCTTCTGGGGTTGGGAGGAGGTCCTGAGGGACCGCTGTCATCAGGGCGAGTGAAGGAGTTAGGACTTTGCCACTTTCGCACCGCCCCCACAAAGACTGGCCAGCCTCCCAGAGTTAAGGATCGGCTCTCCTGGTTACCTGGGGGAGAGTGGCATGGAGGTGGGTCCTACGGCTGTCCTCTGTTTGCTCATTGAATGTACTGAGTTCAAGGCACAGATTTTGGTTTCCGCAGGGCATGAGCCAAAATGCTGAGTGGCATCTATCAAGGCCTTAGGGAACAAGGCAGACGTCTTGGAGCAGGAGCCCGGGGGAGACTGGATATGGCTGGGGATTCTGAATGTGCATTCATTCCCCTCTCTGTGCTGGAGAAGGATGACCACGATCTTGCCCACTGCTCCCTCTCACAGCCTCCTTGGCCATCAGGGACTCCTCAGAGGCGTCTTCTCTATACTCACAAGATGGGGAGCTTTCCCTGCACCAGGAGTTCCTGGTGGGCAGGCCCACATCCTGTGGTCTGAGCCTGCATCCCAGATCCTGACCATAGGCGGGCACACAGCGGGCTTGGCACAAACACTTGTTGATTCGATGACAGAAGAGCTGAATGAAGCAGTCGGAGTCACCCAATCATAGAACAGGGAGTTGGGAGGCTCCCTGGAAATGAATAACTGCTCATTTTCCAGATAAGGAAGCAGGTCCAGATTGGGAGAAAGTTTTCATCGTATTCACCAATGGCCTTATAAAGTCAAGTATGTAGAAAGTCAAGTATGTAGAAGAAGTCAAGAATGTATCTCAAGCTTATGATCCCAGTCCAGTGATCTGAACCTAATGAGGCCTCGAACCGGGCAACAGGATTGTGATTTCAGCAGAGATTTGCTACAGTGAGATAGGAGTCGTTATTGGCCGTCAGCCTCTTCTGTACCAGTTAGCTGTTGAGACATAACAAGTTACCCCAAAACACAAGAGCTGAAAACAAATAAGCATTTATTGTTTATTCTTAATTTTTTGAGTCAACTAGGTAGTTCTTCTGGTATGAGCCAGGCTCAGATGATCTGAACCGAGCTTACTCATGTGTCCCCGCACAGTGGGCTGGTCTCCTGGGTGCTGGCTTACCCACGATAGACTTGCCTGAGACATTTCCTCTCTGCTCAGAAGGTCTCTTGTTCTCCAGCAGCCTGGCCAGACTGCCAGGTTTCTCTGGATAAGTTGCATGCTGGCCTTGCTCCTGGAGTCTTCCCTCCCTTATCTGAGCTGAGCCCAGGTTTGTCTGAGGACTCCCACGGTCAGAATGGATCTTTTCTGTTGTAATTAACGTCATCAGACCCTGACCTGCCTTTGCTTCACTTCTGCCTGCCTCCTGGGAGCTTGGCCAGCCTCCACCTTGGCCTGTGTCTCCCTTTGCATTGTGAACTAGCTCCCTGCTTCCTGGCCAGCCTCCATGTGTTCTCAATTCCATCTGGATGGAGAGCTGCCCTCAGTGTCATGATGGGCCCTCTAGACCGTGCCTTTCTTACGGGCTAATGGGGAGGCTCTCACAGACAAATTGTGGGCATGGCTCCAGCTCCAGAAAAGGCATGCAGACATCATACAGGGGTGAGCAAGGCCACATGCACCTTCATCCCCATCTGCAGGAGCTCGAAGAGTTTGTGAGCTATTGAGTGTAGGTGGTAGCTGTACTATAGGTGGGAAGACTGAAATGTAGCATTGTTCAGGGACTGTCCAAGGTCATAAAGGTCACAGAGACACTACCCAGCTCATGTAGGAATGTCTCCACTGGTCTGCCTGTTTCACTCTGGCTCCTCTACAGTATATCTTTCACACAGAATCCTGAGACTATTTCAAATATAAAGCAGATCCTGCCAGACCCTTGCTTAATACCTTTATATTTACAATGAATTTCAAACTCTATGCTGGGGCCTGTAAGGACCTAGATGATGGGTCCTGCTTCCTGTTCCAGCCTCATACCACAATTCTCCTCTTGTTCATCTTGCTTCCACAGCTCTGGCTTTTTTCCTCTTCCTCAAACAAGCCATTTTCTTTTCTACCCCAGGCCCTTTGCACTTGCTTTTGATCAGCTTGGTATTGCTCTTTTCCTAGCTATTTGCATGGACGATGCATTCTTATTTCTCCTCAAATACCTTTTCCCAGAGAGCCATTTCCTGAATCCTTACCTAAAACAGCCTTTGCCAATTTCTCTCAACTCACTATGCTCATCTCTTTAAGAGTGCTCACCCAGTTGATACTTACCTTGTTATTTGCTTTTGTTTGTTCTCCTACCTGAATGTAAGCCTGTGAAACTAAGGACCTTGTTCATTTTCTCTGAATGCCTAAAGAATGGATGATGGTGGGAATGGAGTACTGGGTTAGATCCAGTCCCAAAGAATAGCCATTGCTTCTCCACACTGGACCTTGGTAGGTCTGGTAGGTGTGTGGGTCTCTTGAGGGTCTGATGAGTGAGATTAAGGGGGAGCTGTCCGCTTATTACCTTCCTCCTCCCTCGCCCCACTTCTCCAGGCCTCCACATATCCTACATATCCTACAGGATGGAGAGGCCCAGAAAGAAAAGAGTCAATGTTCATGGGTTACTGAGCCACACAACCACAAAACCGACCCTGGGGGATTCCCTGCTTCTCACTTCTGTCCCAGTTACGTAGCTTCCTTTGAATTGCTGCTTTCCTTTTCGTTCATCCATTAGAAGCAGGGAAAAACATCCGTGGCATCTCAGGCACCTGCGCAGTGCGGCTCTGAAGCTCTGTGGGACGGGGACCCCGGGGGCTCCGAGGTGCTTGCGGCACCAGTGGCGAAGGCACGACAGAGGTGCTCAAATTCATCTCTAGCTTTCTTTTCTATCCTGATGAAAAAAAAAATGTAATTTTTATATTGTCACAGAACAAACAGAACCATGATTTAAGTCTCATAATTTATGTAACTGATTTCATGTTCTCTTGACAGTTCTATCATAAAACATGTAGGAAAGCTGTTAATACACAGACTGGAGCTATTTAGTGACAAAGTTTTTATTGATCTGTGACAGAATGAAAGAAAAAAGGCTCATGGACGACGGGTGGACAATCTTCTTCGCTTGGAAAGGACTGTTATATTCTAAGATGATATCCTTTCCTCAACTGTAGTGTGAAAATGTTCTATCTTTTATGAATTGGTGGTGATAGTAAGCGGGAGTTATTTTTATGTATTGCCTTGGCTCGGAAAAGCAAAAAGCTAGCATCCCCGTGTTGGTTTCTAAACTCTTGAGAGTAACTTTGCTTCATACCGAAAACCCCAAATTCTGGAAGTACTGGTACAGTGCAGCCTCTCCCCCCCCGTGGAGGCATTCCCTGATGGCATCCTTGAATGCCTCCCCCCCCAACCCTGCCGAGTCTTTCCAGAGACAGAGCTACTGCCCATACTGCCCACAGGCAGCCTGTACCCTTTTAACTGTGAGGGTGAGGCTGTGTTCCCCAAATCTCCCACGCCACCCTCTCCCCTCCCCGGCCCCCAGGACCAGCAGGCTAGCCCAGGCATGCTCTTCCCAGGGATCAGAGAGCCAGTGGCATCCTAGGCTTATGAATATAGTCATGCTCCTTTTCTGTGAGGAACTGCGAAGCTGTGTGTCAAAGGGTGTGAAGACGAGGAGGGAAGGAGAATTTGAGCTGATAATGTAATCGATTACAAACCCAATATGCATCTTTTCTTTCCTGGGTAAAACATTCCTTGTTATTTTGGCTGGATTTTAAACATTTAAAAAATATATTTTATTTATTTATTTGAGAGAGAGAGAGAGAGAGAGAGAGACAGCACACACGAGAGAGGGGAGGGGAGGAGCAAGGGGAGAGGGAGAGAATCTCAAGCAGACCCCACCCAGAGAATGGAGCCCGATGTGGGACTCGATCTCATGAAGCTGAGATCATGACCTGAGCCGACATCAAGAGTTGGGTGCTTAACCAACTGAGCCACCCAGGCACCCCAGTTTAGCTGGGTTTTAGGTGGAGTTTAAAAGTGACCACTGTGGGGGGCACCTGGGTGGCTCAGTCATTAAGCGTCTGCCTTCGTCAGGTTGTGATCGTAGGGTCCTGAGATGGATACCAGCATGGGGTTCCCTACTCAGTGGGGAGACTGCTTCTCCATCTCCCTCTCCTGGCTATTCTTCCTGCTTGTTAGCTCTCTCTCTCTCTCTTTCTTGCTCTCTCTCCCTCTGTCTGCCAAAGAACTAAATAAATACATCTTAAAAAAAAATGACCACTATGACTCCTACCTAGCTGCTTCCCTTCCCTCATACACATTTGGATGTGTTGTATGCTCCAAAGGGTAATCTGGATGAGGGGTCTGAAGACATACGGCCCACTCTAGAACCTAGCAGCTCTGTAACCTTGGTGTGTCCTTTAAATCCACATCTGTGAAAATGGGATTTTAACACCAATTTCACAGGACTTATGAAGATCAAGCCAACAAGTGTGCTTTGCCCATCCTAATGAGCCATGTCGGTGTGAGGGCTGATGTCTCTCGGAGTCTGAGGTGGGCCACCAGAGACCCTACCCACTCTGGGAAGCAGAGTGCAAGGATGGAGAGGGGAAGGAGAACTTGTTTCCTGCTGGGACCAAGGAGTTCTCTAGTCTCCTCTGTTAAAAAGAGAAAGTGGTAAAGTTATTCCTCCTTTCGTCTTTGTTCATTGTCACGTTCTAGGGGTTACAAGAGAACCTTCTTGTGCTACAAAAATACTCCCGAGAAAAGCTAGTACATAGGAGCTTGGCTTTGGGGGGAAAATCTATTTTTGGACTTCAACATGTATCTAAAATTATTAAGAGCATCCTCTGTCTGAACATTGGCTCCGTCGGACCCCATTTCTCTTCCTGTGCTTTGCTTGTAGAAAAACAGTCACAGTGTGATCCATGGTTTATTGTTTTGGCAATGACCCACTGGCTGACTCACAGCTTTCCCTTGGGGCTTGGTGGGGAATGGT